TTACCATATGTTAACTGTACACAGTCTTCTAACTCTAAGTTTGAGCGGGTATATTTTTCAATTTTCTTTCTGTAAACTTAGAAAAAAAATGTATGTACCATCATAACGTTGACAAGTTTACTTACTTAAAGAACAGTGAACAATTTTCCAACATACAACAATAATTGAATCTTCAAATTGGTTGCAGTAAATTACATTCAATTAACGTACTTTCCGTATGAATGCAATGCTATTCAACCAGGTCGAAGAGACGAAGAAATATTACATTGCTATAAAAATGAAATCCAATCTATGCGTGAAAAGACGGCGGCTCGCTGGTACCATGGTGGAGTGAAGAAATAAAACAAAGTCCGCTAGACTTAATGTAGGGAAAACGCTCCTATAGTTGCGGTACGTTAGAAGCGTTAGGTTCCTATAGTTGTGCATGGAGACTCAATACACAAATATAGGAACCTAACGCTTCTAACGTAACGCAACTATAGGAGCGTTTACCCTACAGATTGTCCGATGCTTATGGGATTTTACCACGCCAGTGACAAGGCCTATAGACGAGTGCACGGATGGATTTGAGTTCACTCACTCGACAAAAAGTGACACAACAGCGGGGCCCTGTTTACTGAAAATGAACACATGAATAATACTCGCGTAACATTTGAAACGGATCTATCAACTTATGTACACAAAATTTGTTAAGCGTTTTTCGCGCGAACCGAATACGCTCACGCAAACTAACAACACCATCAGGCAGAGGAAATTCTCCCCTTTCCGATAGTGCTCTTGGTTTGCGTGGGCGTACTTCGGATCTCGTCAAAAGGACCTAGCAAATTATTTACAAAAGTTGATAGGCCCTTTTCAAATGTTACGCGAGCATTATTCATGTGTTCATTGTTAGTAAACAGGGCCCCGCTGTTGTGTAGAAAAAATTTTCAGTAGATTAACTTAAGTTCACCTGTGCACAGGTCTATACCAACAGCAGCGTTTGACAGTACGCAGCATGTCCCGGGCTCAAATCGTTTATTTTGCTGTGGTGGGCCCGCTGTCACGGTATAACATGTTGCCTATGCGCCTGCCACTGGGCTGGATTATACCATAGGAGTAAAGAGTTGCAGAGTCGTCGTCAACGTCAATGCCTACTGAGCATGCAACCATATATCTGCTTTTCTTTCTAAGAGCTAATGTCGCAAACGTTTAACAATTACTAACCACAATGATTGTGTAGAGGGAGAGTCCCCCTTTCAGATAGAATTGGTGGCTTACATGGATACGAGAAATTCACGAAAGAAGCAGTTGTTTACGTTTTCGAAATCGGTCCTTATGAACGCTCAGTGTCGTTATCACGAAAATTGTATTTTGACAGATCGATGGCCAACTATACCAGTTATACCACAACAACAACACAACAAAGGGGTCATCTTTTAGTCAGTTAAACAGCAATACGTAATAAAACAATACATGTAAATTAAACATACAACGAAGTAAACTTAAATTCTTCAAGTGTTCTTGAAGAAGCATCGAATAAATCTATATATTCTTCATGTACTCCTGCTGTGAAGTTGTCTTGAGAACCATAAAAATACAAGTTGAATAAAACCTACCAGTTTTAAGAAAGTTTTATTTATCTATAAAAAAACAATTTTGAGTGATGAATATACTATAGCTTCAAGTGAATGGGAATCATTAGTTTTTGTACTTATTGAACATGTAATACATGTAATACTGCCCTGTAAAATTTACTGTTAATATCAACTATACAATCGAAGATAAAAGCATATAGCAATTAAAATAATTTGAAATAAAAAAGATTTAAAAATGATTAAATAAAAACAAAAATCATAAATTATTTTGAAAAAAAATACCGACAGAGTTGAAGTTAGCTGGCTAATCATTATTTTTTTTAGTATTTTGTTAAAAAAAATCAAGCTTTGATCGATATTTTATACAATATTTCTATTGGATATTCAATCGTGTAAGTATGGCGACGATCTTTTGCATGCAAAAGCATCATCAAATCGCCATTAATTATTTATTGACTTGGTTAAAATAATAATAAGTGAACTTAGTATCATACAAGATCACTTATTCTCAAATAAAATTATTTTGCGCTATACAAAGCTATTCACTCTCCATTAAACCAACTTTAAAAATAATTGGTTTTATTCGAGATTTTATAGAAATCTTGAAAAGGAAGACCCACCGTGCTGCGTGAGCAGCAGTTTGACCTAAGAGGAAGAGGTGACAATTGGCTTCTTCCTCTTTTATTTCTATCTCTATCTCTAGCTTTATCTATCTCTATCTCTATCTTACGCACATGAAATCGGCCAATCAGGAGCTGGTTCACGGTTGACAGAAAAGTGGTTCATTTTCGCCCCCGTATTGTCATCTCTTCTCTTAGGTTTGACAGCTGTTTATTTACGTTTGTACCTGTACGAAACTTTTTATACGCGTCGTCAGTTTTCTTCATTCAACCAGGTAATAATTCAGTTTTTAATGACTTCAAGCGAACACTAACTATGTTTCTTTGTTCATAGGATGCCTTTCAAGGTTGTGCAAACCATTGGGGACGGAGAAACCTGCCTGAGTGTTGTTCCCAGTGGATGGGAATCAAAAGGGATTTTACGCTGGCCCAAAAAGCACCTTGTTAGAAAGCTGTCGCAGGTGGAAACATCCTTGCCTGGAGAAAATTGGGAACGCATGAATTGTGTGAACAAACGTGAGTTCAATACACGTTATGAAGCCGATTTGGAAGTCGATCGGATGGAAAGCAAATCAGACACCGAAGTGGAAGACCTCCGAGCGTTGGCATCACCTGCGAAGAAAGTCAGGAATGTGACCAAAACTTCCGATGCATTGGTAATCCATCCAAATTAATGTTGATTGATATTGAACATGATTTGCCAATATCCGAACAGAGTTGTGAGAGACATTTTCCGATACCATGCTGCCAATAAACTTGCGTAAATCAATGTATTCTTCAAGGACTTTATTACAGCACTTATGAAGTAGATTTATTACCATTATCAGACAACATCCTTAAGTGTTGATAAGAGTTGTGATAAGCATGAATATTCTCAAGTAAAACGAAGTTTTATTTGTGTTCTCCAAGGGATTCTCTAGGATATTATAAAACCGAAACCTTACCTTACCTGAAGTTACATAAAACCAATATTACTCAATCAAAACCGCCAATTCTTATCGAAATCAACTATAAAACCTGAATAAATGAAATTATCTTTGGGAATACTCAAAATCGTCTTGAAGTTCAGATCAAGTGACCTATTCCATCAGTAAGCATTGGGATGATGTCTTTAGCAGCAAAACATATCCATTTGCGTATCCATTACGATCGATTTTCATGTATACACTTAATTCTGTTTTTGTGCGTTTTTTTTTTCGTCCTTATCTAAATTGCACCCAATCTAAGTGCAACTTTTTTGTTTTTCCAAAAATCAGAAAAAAATCTTAGTAAAATATGGTGGTATTCAGGGTTCTACTTTTTCGAAGCTCTAAAATGAACTCGAGTTTTGTTTCATACAACGTGTTCAACGCATCATTTCTATAACGCCTAGCTAAACTATCAGCACGAAACGAAAATGAAAAAGAAGCACACTTACAACGAAAGGCTGGCTGTGGATTTTCTCGTCGTTGCTTTACTTAAAGCTTTCAATGAAATTAACGTCGATTATCGAGTTGAAACGAAACCTCATCATGGCTTTCAATCCTTTTCACCGATACTCTATCCCCGCTCTTTCAATTTGTTTAATATCTGTTATGACTCGTTTTCGTCACTTTTTTTTAGATCTTTATGTGGATGGAAGATAAATTAAACATATTACGTGTAATCAGTGATCGGCATCATTAGAAAATTGATATTTTTCCACTCTCATACGCTGTCAATATCACGTGTGGTATTAGAGCAAAATATTGATTGTATAAGCTCCTTTGATATTGCGAGACTATTCACAACCAGGCATGGAAAATCATTTACATTCATTTCGTGCATTCATTTACATTCATTTGCCCCTAACCTTTTTCATCAACAGAATTCCGCAAAATGATCTATGGAGCTTTTGTAGGTTTTATTAGTAGCTACAACTTTTGCCCATAACTCAAATCCGAGTCAATTTTGCTACATGAGAGCGGCTAAGCGATTTTGTCATTTATCTCACCGACTCTTCGTTAAACACTCTTCGCGAAAAGGCTATCAAGAAATCGCTCATTGTGCCTCTGTCAAAGCTAAATTTGTAGAGTTTTTTGTGTCAAACACAAACTTTACAATCTTTTCTTGTTGCTTAGACATACCAAATATCATCATACTATCTTATTATTCCATAATTTAATAAAATATTTTTTTTAGTCAAAATAAATGGAAGGCACCCTGCTTGCAATATCAACCGCAGCTGTTTGCTTGTTGATTTTTGTCCACAAAAAAAAATCAATCAATCAATAAATAAATATATATTTTCATTTTCCGTCATATACGTCATGAAACCTCCGTTGATGTGTTTCATGAAAGACTAAACTATCAAAGTCAAGCGCTACTTCACTCGTCCGCTTCACCGAAGCACCGAAACAAAGAGCAATGAAGCGACGGCAGAAAGAGAGACAGGCGATTGAAAATTTGTTTGTAGACGCCAATTGAGGTTCTCGAATGCAACAGAAAAAGAAAGCTAGCAGACTCTTCGTCACATCGATTTTGTCGATTGAAGTTGATATTGTGACGCCCTGGTGGTATTGACATTTCTATACTTGTCCTAAATGAGGACAAACATAAGTATAGGCAGGTTTTCTTGGTTTTCCAAATCGTCCTGGTGTTCAAATCAAATGATCTACTATAGCAACCCCGTATGCATGGTTGCGAAACATGTCCAATCATATATAGAGAGCTGATGCACATAATGAACAATGAATCGTAAATATCTTCGGGCTATTCTGGAGTTATTTTTTCACAAAATGGACACCTAAAATTAAGACAATAACAAACTAAACCCATCCATACTCACCCTTGGACTGTGCATTCTGGTCGCGCAGAATTCTGGTCGAGATCACCTGGCCGTATTTGGATAGTAAGTTCTCTACATCCGTTTCCTTGTAGGTTAGTGGTAGATTAGCAATGTACAAGTTGGTAGGATCCTGCTCTTGTTGCTGTAAACCATCATCATCATCATCATCATCGTGGTCCACGGTTGTTGTTTCGGATTGTTTATCGCGATTTTTTTTTGTGGTGGTTATTTGTTTAAGGTAGTGAAAAAATGATTTGAAAGAAAAGAATGATAAAAGTTAATTAGTACGTCTTCTTCAAGCTTTCGATGGCTAGCGCTTTTCTATGGTTTTTTTGGGGGGGATTTGTCCTGACCGAGCAATATTTTCCGGAAGAACTTGAATGAAAGTGGGGAGAGATTTTGCTTGAACTTTGAATGATGGAAGAACGTAGAGGACCCTAGCGAGTAAAACGAGCCGTTACTTTTATAATACTGGAGTGTTACTTTTTCTTTGTTTGAAAATTGAGAAATGAAGAGGAAACAGTTTTCTTTTCTACTGAGGTAAATTGTTTCGTACATTTGGGGGGAATCCTTTGAAAAACGGTGACCAAGTGAAAAATGCTTTAAGGGTACGTGCCGAGCGTCTTTTGATGGTGACGTTTAATCTTCTTGCGGTCGAGAGAAAAAAAAACGACGGACACAGAGAGACATGTAGAGTAAGGGGCGTAGAACGTAATGAGAAGTGTTACGGATTACATTTTTTTTGTTGGTTGGTCGGTGACCGAGGGGAACTAAATTAGTTGGAATGATGGATCAAAGAGAATATGACATATTCGTTTAGCTTCTGAAGGTTCTCCTAGCATAAAAAAAAACAAATGGTCCCTAGCATAGAATTACGCGTGACCTAAGAGAGACTGAGCTAGCCCTGTACTTAATTTACTAATAAAATGTATATAGTTTGTTTTGGCCGGCACACGATTGTATTCGTTGTTTTTTTTTAATTATAATGGTAGTAAGTTGCTAGCGGTAGTTATATAATAGTGATGGTAGTAGAACACACTTTTACATAGTATTTACTGTATACATTACTTGCTGAGCTTTAAACTGAAGGGGTTAACGCTAGGTAATTAGAAACTGGCTATTTGAGCAGAAGTTAGAAATTGATTCTTTTTTTTTATTGTTGGTTAATACATTGTGACTATTCGTTAGCTATAGACCTATACCGTCGAAATGAACGAACAAAACTTCAAACTGCCTAGCACTATTTATCAATACTATATACACAGTTTAACGAGAAAACACTAGAGACTACCTAAATTCCCTTTAATGATATTGTCATTATTTGAGTATTTTTGTTTTGTTTTGTACATATAAGCTAGAGACTATTAAAGTAATTGTATTTTGGTCAAAATCAAACCCCTACAACCTAGGCTACGATGGACGATTGAGAGAGAGAAAGGGTCTTTAAAACACAACATAAACAAAGTTATCTATACACTACTACTGGTTTGGCTATAATTTTTCCGAGAGATCCCTGATTCTTCTCATAAACGGTTGATTGGATATTTTTGGTTGAGGGCTTTCGCAGTACAGGGTGTTAGTAAACTGATGCAAGGGATTAGTACTGGCTTCGTTTTGTACAGCACGTTCCGTTGGGAGGAGAAGTTAACGATCGACGTTAGAAGATTGGTGTACGAGCTTGTGGGTGATATTTGATTATTTTAAGGTAGTCGTATGCTTTACATATGTACAGATATTAGCGAACAATGGAAGTTGGGATGTTCATCCTGAAGAGGGAGTTGAGGTTTAAAGGGGATTTGAGTTGTGAGAGAAAATTCAGAAGCACTAGTTAATTAATGATAGCACATAGACGATGCTAGCACGTTCAAAAGACGATTTAATTTAATGAGCAGCAACGAGGTGAATAGTGAAAAGTTGGGCAGGACGCTTGACCAAGTGGATAATATTCCGAAACAGAGAATTTAGATTATGAGAAATGGGAAGCCCCAATTCCAAAGTCCTCTCCTGATCCTATCAGCAAACAAAAATGTAACCCCTCTAACCTCCTCTAACCGCCAGGCAACTCCTATTGGAGCCAGATTGAAGGGAGTTTTACATAGTTAGAAAAGTAGCTCACGGCACCGTGAAGCTCCCGAGATTGAGCCGAAAAAGAGAATTAAGTTAAGATAACTGGCAAACTATTTTACGGATGGCAAAAGAGGCATATCAATATTAAAAGGCTGTTTTAATCCGACGGTCATTTCGCCGAATTTCAATTTTTGTGGACCTCAATATTAATTGAAAGAGCAGTTGGGAACATGGCGCCCTCTAGGTCTTTTAAGAAAAATATTGAAAATATCGCCAAAACCTACGGTTAGTAGTTAAGAGAATTTCTGCGATATTACTTTTTAGGCAAATATTTCCCCGGCTTAATGACTTTTGGCGAAATTACCGGCGATGAAATAACATACTCCCTTTTATACAAGCTGGGGCTAAAGTTGATTGTTTACCGTAAGAAACAATTTAGGAAAAAACACAACATTTCATGCAGTTATCAGTTAGCCTTGATCGCTAAGAGATATTTATTCATATCCAGAACGAGACATCTTAAGTTCTCGATAGCTCGCAAACAATTAAAATTTTAAAATTGGTTTAACAAGTATCTTTTCGAAAAATAAACTGATCAAAACAGTTAGGGGAGATGTACCAGTTGTGGTCATATGATCCTATTATGGCGTGTTTCAAAAGATTACCAACATGGTTGATTTTCGCAACAGAAGTCGTTAGTAAAAAAAAAGTTACGGCGATTTATTTTGTGTGCAAAAAACCGGAAAATTTTGATTTGCACAAGATTATAGCCATATTCGAAAAAAATATTTGGTACACTTCATAGCTTTAATTTTTACCCAATTGCTTCTAAAATCGATATTTTTTACAAAAATGTTGAAATCTTCATACATCTTTTTTTTAAATAACTTTTTCCCCATAGGAACTTAATAACTCGCTAGAATTTCTCAGTGCGTTTGCTGTTGCTTTTGATTACAACAAATTCTAGAAAATTGTATCGCTTAGCTGTAGCAATGCAAAGAGAAAATCGATGAAGAGAATCGATCATCGCGTATACGCCCTTATGCATGCTCACTGTCGAATTGTCAAAATCAGAAGCGATCCTCAAAAGCAAAATAATCAAGTTCATTTTGGGCAAAAGTGATTAAAAGAGCTTAAAACATCGATATTATCATCAATTCAGCTTGAGGTAATAATTTTCCATCTGCAGCACTATATTTGTGTGAATTGAAAATTAAAATTTTGCATTTGATCCTCACAATCATCCCCATCAAGATGAAAACGGATATTAATATTGAAAACAACACATGCGATAATAAACATCCAGCCACGAATGAACAAAAGCAAAAGTTGACTTTGATACTCAGAGGTTGCCTTGATCAAGAGAATTTTGTTATGCCAAAATTAAAATTGTTAAAGTTGTCTTCGTTTTCAGCTAAGTTGAGTGTAGAAGTAATGATTTTTATCAGCACTGGTCCACTGGTCCAGGCAAAATGGCGAAAAAACGAGTTTTTCAATCGACCTTCTCCGATTCTTATGAACCGTTGATGATATACTGTTTTTGTCAATTTTTAAGTGTCCATGGTTTTAAATACTACTAAAATTTGCATTTTTCATGAGTTTTATTTAAAAAATGAAGTATAAAGATTGAATGCATAATTTTCGGGATATTTCATTTTAACACTTTTCTAAAAAAAAAAAAACATAACGTGTATATTTATTCCACAATTACTTTACTGTTTAAAACAAAATCTTGGTCCCAGGCGTTATTTCAATCAGAAGTGACGTTTTACTGGTACAATTTATTGAAAAATATCAAAGACGCCAATTTAAAGAAAAACAGTTCCAAAATGGCCGATTTTTTGCAAAAATGTGAATGATATCCATAACAAATAATTAAGCAAAGTTTCATGCAAATCGGCGAAGGTCGAGTCTTCAATTTTTATTTGTTTATCCTATTTGGCCTGGAAGAGATCAGCTTCAAAATGGCGTATTCGATATTTTTCAACAAATCAAACAAACTGGATTGTCCCAGACGTTGAAGGCAAAAAACAACTTTTCAGAAAAAAATATACGCGGTACAAAATTTCAAGCAATTTTGGGCAAGAAAAAAAAAATCGAAAAAGTGTTTAAACCTGGTTAACGAATGTGCCATTTTTATTTTTTTTTTAAAGATTCCAAATGGTCGAATCTTAGCTCAAATGTGAATGATAGGCCATAGATAACAAGAGATTATGTCGAGGGGGGCAACTCTATCTAAGATGCAGGAAAAATGTTGCTTTGCTGTTGTGAGATGCTCGCACACTTAGTAGATATAAAAAAAAATTAAGAAGATTTTGAAGATTTCCTGCAAAAAGGTGGCGAACGGTGCGAGTAGATGGATTTCGATGCAAGAGCTGAAAAAAGATTTTTCGTAGATTGATTCGCTAGCGTGAGATTTTCTGACCATCTTAAATTGAGATTTAGATGTGTCGCACCCCCAGGATTTTGTGAAGTTTCATGCAAATTCGCAGAAGTTTGCATCAGATCGATTTGTCATTTGGCGTGGAACTGCTCAGGCAGTGAGCTTGAAATATTTTCAAAGTTTCTCAGAGTGTTGAAAATTGTATTGTATATTGTACCCTTAGTTCAATATTTCACTTTTTAAAGTTTTCTTTGAATAAAATATTGCACCGAAATTCATTTACGCGATCATATATTTTTTTTCTAAAATTCCTATGATCGAATCCAATAATATTTCTTGAACATTTGATATTTTTATCGAACTCAATACATCTACCACAAAAGCTTACATCATCAAGCTTACTTGAAATGTTGTGCAGTGTATATTTTCCTGAAAAACAATCATTTTCTGCTACAATTTTGTCTCAGACGTCATTTCGATTGTAAGTGATGTTTTCGAGTTATCATTTGTTGAAAAATATTGAAAACGCCAATTTGAAGCTTTCAGCGAAATTCAAAATGGCCGAATTTTTGCTCAAATGTGGATGATTGACCATAACAAACAGTTATGCATAGTTTCATGCAAATCGTAGAAGCCCGAGTCTGGAACATTTTTTTGTTATTTGCCCGTTTATACGTTTTAGTTGAATAAAA